GACGAAGCATCCCCCGCCAGCTCACTGGAGACCGCAAGAGACGAGCAGCCCCTATCGGGAGCAACTTGAGCCATCAGGTCCAGCCCCATATGCGTCAGACGACTTCGACAACCGCGCGCACCGCGATTCAGCACCAAAGCAGATTAGACGTGCACCGACCAGGCTCAGAGACGCGCGCATGCCGACTCTGCCCGAGAGGCTCACCAGCGCAAAAAGGAGGGGCCATTGTGACCACCCCCAAGGCCCCCACAATGTCCTCAAGGGCGACGACACCAAAGCGATTTTCCGAACCACCGACGGGAATATCTATCCGCCCAAGATGCGCACGCACACCATAGCCACCATTACCGACTCCATCCGAGACACTTTCGAAGAGGTAAGCGACGCACACCATTGCGATGATGACAGCCCCACTCTTGCGAAGGACTCGCGGGCTTTCCACATCAAGGGCTGCGATCAGGAGTTCTTTGTCTGCGCCAGGTTCTGCAGCCACACGAGACAATTAGCCTGGCGAAAGACCCAACCATATGCAGTTGTGAGTAACACAACTGTGAGTATCGTCTCCAGTGGACCTCCATATGTGGTCACGGAACGCGCGAGGTATGTACCGAAGTTGGCGCGGTGGGCCCATGCGAACGCGTGTGAGGGGTGTGCTGGAATCGGTGCAGTAGCGCCATGCGGGCACAGCCACTGGGGCTTTCGGTGGAACTCCTTGTGGGGCCATGAAGAGTGTGAGTGTGTGTGTGCGTGCGTGTGTGCGCGTGTGCGTGCGTGCGCGTGTGCGTGCGCGTGCGTGTGTGCGTGTGTGTGTGTGTGTGTGTGCGTGTGTGCGTGTGTGCGTGTGCGTGCGCGTGCGCGCGTGCGTGCGCGTGCGGTTGCGCGTGTGCGCACGCGTGTGTGCGTGTGTGCGTGCGCGTGTGTGCGTGTGTGCGTGCGTGCGTGCGTGTGTGTGTGGGTGTGCGTGTGTGTGTGTGCGTGTGTGTGTGCGTGTGTGTTGTGTGTGTTGTGTATGCTGTGTGTGGGTGTGGGTGTGTGTGTTTGTATGCGTGTTGGATGTGTGATGTGTGTGCTGTGTGTTGTGTTGTGTGTGTGCGTGTGTGCGTGTGTGTGCGTGTACGTGCGTGTGTGTGTGTGCGCGTGTGTTTGTGTGTGGTTGCGTGTGTGCGTGCGTGTGCGCGCGTGTGTGTGTGTCGTGTGTGTGCCTGTATGTGCGTGTGCGTGCGTGCGTGTGTGTGTGTGTGCGTGCGTGGTTGCGTGTGTGTGTGTGCGTGTGTGTGTGCGTGTGTTCGTGTGCGTGTGAGTGTGTGCGCGCGTGCGTTGCGTGTGCGTGTGCGCGTGCGCGTGCGCGTGCGCGTTTGCGCGTGTGCCCGCGTGCGCGTGCGTTGCGTGTGTTTGTGTGTGCGGGTGTGGGGTGGGGTGGTGGGTGGCGGGTGGGTGGGTGCGGCGGGTGCGGGCGCGGGCGCGGGCGGGGGGCGGGCGCGGCGCGGGCGCGGGTGCGGGCGCGGGTGCGGGTGTGGATGTGGGTGTGGGTGTGGGTGTGGGTGTGGGTGCGTGGGTGCGTGGGTGCGTGGGTGTGTGGGTGTGTGCGTGTGTGTGCGTGTGTGTGCTTGTGTGCGTGTGTGCGTGTGTGCGCGTGTGCGTCTGTGCGTGTGCGTGCGCGCTTGTGTGCGTGTGTGCGTGTGTGCGTGTGTGCGCGTGTGTGCGTGTGCGTCTGCGTTTGCGTGTTCGCGTGCGTGTGCGCGTGCGTGTGCGTGTGCGTGTGCGTGTGCGTGTTTTCGTGTGCGAGTGCGTGCGCGTGCGGGTGCGCGTGCGCGCGCGCGTGCGCGTGCGCGTGCGCGTGCGCGTGCGCGTGCGCGTGCGTGCGTGCGCGCGTGTGTGTGTGTGTGTGTGTTTGTGTGTGTGTTTGTGTGTGCTTGTGTGTGTTTGTGTGTGCTTGTGTGTGTTCGTGTGTGATTGTGTGTGTTTGTTTGTTTGTGTGTGTGTGCATGCGTGCGTGCGTGCGTGTGTGTGTGTGCGTGTGCGTGTGTGTGTGTGTGTGTGCGTGTGCGTGCGTGTCTGTGAGAAAGAAGGCGTGCTGATATGGGCGCGGTGGTGCCATGCGAAAGCAGCCATTGGGGCCTTCGGTGGAACTCCTTTCGGGGCCACGAAACGTGTGAACGGCGTGCCGAAGTGGGCGCGGTGGTGCCATGCGAGCGCAGCCACTGGGGCCCTCAGTGGAGCTCCGTTTGGGGCCACGACACATTTAAGGGATGTGCCGACATGGGCGCGGTGGTGCCATGCTAGCGCAGCCATTGGGGCGTTTGGTGGAGCTCCACGTGGGGGCACAAAACGCGCGAGGGTTGTGCCGAAGTGGGCGCGGTGGTGCCATGTGAGCGCAGCCATTGGGACCCTCGGTGGAGCTCCCTACGGGGCCACGACACCTGTGAGGGGTGTGCCGAAATGGTTAACTGGTGCGGAAGGCAGAGGCGCGGATAGGAGGAACAAGGAGGGGGAGGAGGAAGGAGGAGAGGAGAGGAGGATACGCGGGGCGCTGTTTTATATATATATAATATTTTTTTTTAAATAATAAAAAAAAAAAAAAAAAAAAAAAAAAAAAAAAAAAAAAAAAAAAAAAAAAAAAAAAACGAGGACCCAACACAGGATGGTTGGTAAAAAACAAACAAACAAACAAACATGTTGACCACAAGGATGCACAGACTTGCCTAGGACGCAGACTCATAGGCGCCGAATGACAGTGGAGATGCTTTGCAGCGTGATCCGACTCCCGCTCCCGCTCCAGATCCGGCTTCAGATCCTGAGGGTTCCCCTTCTAAGACTACCCCAAAGGATTTAAGTGAGTTTGCTGACGTCGAAACCCTTTTGGGCCTCCAGTCCCTCCCCTCTCTTTCCCCCCATTCCCCCTCCCCCCTGCCCCGTCCCCCCTCTCCAGCGAGCAGCTCGAAAGTGTTGCTGCCAACCGCAGGGGGGGCCAGGCGCCAGAGGAAGGCCGAGCGCGCCGCCGAACAGCAGCGGCGCGCCCCGTGGCACGGCACCATTTTTTTCGCCGCGGTTTTCGGCCCCCCCCGCAGGTCGGCCCCTCGTCTCTTTCGCCTGCCTCTCTTGGGCAGCAGAGGCAAGCATCTACAGAGCACAGTGCTCGCGCCCATGCTACCGCCCCACACATACACCACCTCCCTGCCTCCCTCCCTCCATTTTCTTCTCCTCCATCCTCCCCCCTTCCGCCTCGCCCTCCTCCCCCTACATTTCCCTGCAGCATTCCCCCATGCTGTCTCCACGTCCCCTCCTCCTGCCCCTGCTGGTCCATGCCCCTCCTTTTCCTGTTCCTCGAGATCTTCCTCATGGCGTCCTCTGGCCTACGCTTCGTATTTCTAGAGCTGTTCTGTTTGAGGGGCTCCTACCCGGTTTGCATCAATGTCCATTGGGCGCGGGGTCCTTCCGAGGCGACCCCCGGCGTTTCTCGGGGTTGCTCGGGGCGTGGAGCCTTCCGTAGAAGAGCGGCGTCACGCAATGCCAGCCAATGCCCAGCGAGGACGAGCAATGCCAAACAATGCCTGATAACGTCAAGACGTCAAGCAATGAAAAGCATACGTTCCAGACATTGCAAAGCCAATGCCAGGCAACGCCAAACACCGTAACGCAACGCAATACGAAGCAATCCCGCACAACGGCCCCAAGCAATGCCAAGCAATGCCAGTCACGGCCCAGCAACGACATGTAAAGCTAAGCAATGCCCAACAATGCCAAGCAGCGCCAAGCACTGCCGGTCAGCAAACCCGCAATTCAAAGCAATGCCAGCTAACGCCAAACAATGCGAGGCAATGAGGCCACGCAACACAAAGCAACGCCAAAGAATGCCAACCAAAGTCAAACAACGCAAAGCAACGTCAAAGAATGTAAAGCAACGATTCCTTGCAATCCCACGTAACGTCACGCAATGTCAAGCAACGAGGCCAAGCAATTTGAAACAACGCAAATACATGTCAAAGCAACAGAAAGCAACAATTGCAAAAAATGCCGCGCAACGCCGAAGAATGCTTTGCATTGCAATGCTTTGCAATTGTTGAGAATTGCTCTGAACGTCTGTGCAAAAGAAAGACGCAAACATGGGGTCTGGCCAGATTCATGTCCACACGGAAAAGTATGTCGCGCGCGTTGTTTATCCAGGAAGTGTTTGAAGAAAGAATGAGTTCGTGCGTAAGTGCACATTTTAGACATCTAATTATTTTCCATGTACATATCGGAATGCACGGATTTTCCGTATTAGAGGACATACGTAGATACAAGTGTTACGTAGATACAAGTGTATACACTTACATGTGAAAGCACCTACGCTTGCATACATGAGGGGGCTTCTTGACTCAGATACTCAGTCACTTCAATATTGGCACCAGAGCAGTAATCACAATGATAATGCGTTGGCCTCTATATTGTTCAACATATCACTTTAAAGTGATGTGTTTTCCTGCCCCAGGAGTGCTCTCCTGGGCAGCGGCAGCCGCTGCGACTCTCCGTCTGCTCGAACAGGGGAGTCCAGCAATGGCGTCAGCTGGGGAAGAAGTGAGGATTGTAGTGAGGGAGGTGCAGGCAGAAGGCTGAGGCAAGAATCAGAGAGCTCGCTGACGGTGGCAGCGCAAGCACCACTCTAGAAGATCGTGATGTGATGTTTGTTTGTACGGCTACACGTTTACCAAGTCGGTGTAGAAATGCTGCTATGGAAGAGCAGACATGTTGCTATGGAAGAGCGCTGTTCTGGGCGTCGCGACCCTCCCCCTCCCCCCCCCGGCAAGGGGCGAAGAAGGAAGGGGTACTAAATTGTCCCCCCTCATTTTCCCCCTTCCCGCAGTGCAGGGGGCGGAGAAGGGGTAGTCGCACCCCCGTCCCCAGTAGCACTGGCAAACGACGACGACGACGACGACGACGACGCTCGGCGCGTCGTCTTCGTCGCTTGCTGGCGCGGAAAGGAGAGGCCGCCTCTCGCGCGGGCCAATCCGTGCGCCCAGGTATTCGCCGGAGCAGGTCGCCGTCGATGTCCCTCCGCGGATAGGCGCCGAGTTCAGAGGCCGCGGGGCCTCTTGGGAGGAAGTAGCCCGGAGACGACGATAGGGGCAAGTAGCCCGGGGGCGGGCAGTAAGCTTATCCGTCCAGGGAGCTCGGCCGAAGACATGGGCCATCTGTGCCTTCGGGAACATGCACTGCTCCCCTCTGGGCCAGTCGCATGTATTGCTCCCCTCTGGGCTAGTCGCCACCATCGTCGTCTCGAGGGACGGCCAGTCGAGAGAAGAGCGGCCATCCCTGGCGTTTTTCGTCCTCTTAGGCCCTTCTGAAGGCTTCTCGGTTTTCGTCGCCACGGCTGGATCCGTCTCGAAAAGCGTTTGGTTCGGAGCCCAGGAGTGGTCCGGGGACCGACCTTGAGCTGGTTTGGCCAGGGCGGGGCCTTCCTCTGAATTCCTGGGCGGCGAAGGGGGGGGTATCCGGCTTTGGGGTTGGATCGAGGCTTCACATGATTCTCTTAAAGCCCGATCGAGCCCAAAGAAGATTGCACGGGAATTGGATCTATGAGAGTTGGGTGGAGCCCTAGTCGGATTCGATTAGAGCTGCATCGTGCCCTGGTAGGACTCCAATTCCAGTAAAGTTGGATCCAACCCTATAGGAAGTCTATTGGGGCTGGATCCAGCCCCCGTAGGATTCTACAAGAGCTGAATCGAGCCCGAATTGGATCCAATTAAAGCTGGATCGAGGCCTCTCACGATTCGTGAGAGCTGGATCGAGCTTTAGACCACTGGCGCCGGCGCCAGGTGCGCCGCCGCCGCTGACGTTGTGACTAGCGCCAGCGCTCGCCGTCGTCGACGTCTTCGTCGTCGTAGGCGTTATTGGCTTGCGTCGCGTTGGAGGGTGGGGGCCAATTCGAGTCCCCCCCTTTGGAAAAGGGGGGGCGCAATTCGACCCCCCCCCCGTTGGAGGGTGGTGAGCGGGTAGAGAGACCGATATCCAGGGGGGGCCCCCTCTGGCTTTCAACACGCGCCACCTGTTTTTTTCGGGGGGGGGGGAGGGGCACTTCTGACATGTCGCGGGACGTTTCCCAAGCAAGTGTCCAAGAAACGCATTCCCTTTACCATACGGAACGCTGAATGAGGAACGAAGGAACTTTTCTCGACCTGGCGAGCCTCGGCCGCGAACAGGTTGACCCGACCTAAAACCCAGGGAACGGCCCGAAAAACAAATCCTGAGCCCAAATTGGTCCTTCTGCCAGCGCCTTGGTTGAGAAGCACCGCGCAGCACCGCCGCTCCGCGGCGCGCCCTCTGCACAGAGGCAGGGGGCGGGCCTCCGCCTGGGAAGCTACAGCCTGGCAGCTCTCGCGCACGGCACCGCATTGCACCGGCACGAGCTCCGAACATCGGCGGGCGGCGGAGGGAGCTGGAGGAGGGAGGGAGGGAGGAGGGAGGGAGGGAGAGGAGGAGGGAGAGGAGGAGGGAGGGAGAGGAGGAGGGAGAGGAGGAGGGAGAGGAGGAGGGAGAGGAGGAGGGAGGGAGCTGGAGGAGGAGGGAGAGGAGGGAGGGAGGGAGAGGAGGCGGGAGCTGCGGCCACAGCCACACATGATCGGCGGCAGCTCGGCGGACGCGCACACCCACGACCACTACGACGCGTCGAGGCAGCCGTCCTCAGCCCAGGGGGGCAGTGTCGCGAGCTTAGACACCCGACGGAAGCGATGATACAACCAGGTATCGCGCTCCGCCACGATGGGGGCCCCTCCACTCAGCCGCGCACAGGCCCGTGGCACGGGCCAGCTTTCTCGAAGTGCCACTCAATGCGGCCCTTTCCACCAACCCTTTCCACCGGCCTTGAGGAGAACACCACCCCCAGAAGCCGACGACGGGACCTGCCTCGTGAGGAGGCCTGTCGACGTGCGTCTGCCTCCCCGACCTCTGAGATTGACTCCAACCACGACGGGCTCCCAACATTCCGTCCAGGTGCCTTCACACCACGTACCTACATATCGCTCTTCACTTTTCCCCACCACTACGCATTCACTTACACCAGCAAGCAGCAGCAACGGACTACGACCCTCACTACGGCAGCCAGGGTCCCTCTACCTTCAGCGCGACACGGCATACATCCATGATGGTCCTCCTCCCACCACGGCGAGCACCACTTCGTCCTCCACCCACCATGTCCGACATATTTTCATACGTGGATGGCCTTGGCGGCGGACATCGTAGAGCGCTACACCAGATCTTATCCCCACCACGACCGTCTTCCGACCTATTTCAAACATGGGCGGATGGCTGTCGAGCTAAAGCAATCATAAAAGTTGGCACCGACGAGAATACTACACCGACTATATCTCAGCACGTCCGCCTCCATGCCAGGCTACATGCTTTTTGTTTTCAGATTTACTCCCATGCCGGCGCCCACTACAGGCCACAGAAGAACATAGAGCCCCCTCATGCACCTCACCGGTGGCAGGCCTTAATCACTTGCCCCTGTAGGGGTTGGGGCTTCGGAGGCAGCAACGTGAATGGCCAACTATCATGTAGGCAGTATCGTCATTTTCTTTGGTGTGTTTCCCCACCGGGAGCCATTCACGTGGTATTGTTTCCCCACCGATATCCATATCATTCGACATTCCCGTCACCCGTGGCCGCCCATTCACCCCTTACGCTTGTCCACTCCACGCCCCACTAATACTTTTGTGATTCTGGTCGATTCAATAAAGTCATCGGCTGTATTTCCACCGAGCTTCCGCTTCTCGGCCTGCTCCTGCTCTTGCTGCTCACACTCGCCTTGCCGTCGCCGATTGTGGCCCGAGCGTTTTTCCGCGAACGTCTGCGACGCCAGCCTCTACATCTGCGGCCTCGACCCTGCCGACGTCAGCGACGTCGGCAGTTCCTCCAACATCCCGGACAGCGTCTGCTACGCCAGATGCGACGTCAGCGACGTCGACTTCTAGTCCCACGCGTCCAACGCGGCGTCGAGCGACGCCAGCGACGACAGCAGTTGATACATCTTCACCAGCGCGATGGGCGACTATCAGAACGACCGCTCGTTCGGGGATCGCTCTGCGGTCCCGAGTTGGAACGGCGACCCATCGAAGTCGCGCGACTACAGGCAGGCGGACAAGTTGCAGAAGCTCAGCGAGGATTCAGAAGTTTCGGGATGACAGGTGTATAACATGGTCTTGAAATTGATGAGCACCGCGCGGTCGGATGCACTCAGCATGGAGGAAACTGGTCTACATGAGGAACATCAACAAGGCGCTGGCGCATGCGTCATCGAGAGCACTCAACATCACTGCCGCCGCCGCGGTGAGCGCATGACCGATTCGCTCGCCAGCTTCGACCTGGGACTACGACAGCCGCGCGAGAACGAGTTATACCTAAACCAGCTCGACGACGCGGCCCGGCGGCTCCTGCCGCAAGAGGCTGGCCTACGCGCAGATCGACGCGAGCGCGTCATCGGCGACATACCTGACGAGCACTAAAGCTTCGCCATCATCGGGAACCTGCACATCCGCATGTTGGCCCCCGTCATCAACTCTCAGGAGCGGACGCGTTCGCTACCCTCGCGACCTCGACGCTTCGCGACCTCCCGACAGGTCAAGTCGGCCGCCTCCGCTGAGCGGAGGCCAATCTGCCAGCGCGGCGGGCGAGGCGGAGGAGGCCGACGAGGGGCCCGACGAGGGCGGCGAGGACGAGGGCGCGCAGGACGACGCACAGAACGCGGCATGCCACGAGCCCGAAGCGTTCAGCATGGAGCCACCGAGGTGTTCGGCAATGAGGACAGACGCCCCCGGGCTGGAGGCGGCCGCGACAGGACTAACCAATATCCCCGAGGCCACGGCCACGATTCGCGCCGCTCGCGACGTCGTCAAGAGCGGCGAGGGGGGCGGCCGCGAAGGGCGCGGCGCTGCCCCGGGGCGAGGAGCGCCAAAGGTCGGCACGCTTCGAAGGAGCATCGACCAGCGGATAAAATCATCAGCTAGCTGGGACTGCGGCGGCCCAGAACACGAGGCGGGCGTCGCCAAGCGCGCGACGCCCGGAGCTCGAGAATTCGCAACCAGGGGACGGGCCCAGGCCCGCGGAGGCCGAGGTCGCGCGGATCGATCGGCCCAGATCACCGATCCCGTCGAGGCGCCCGAGCTACATCTTCAAGGGCTGGTCGCGCCACCGCCAGTACCCGAGCGTTCGGTGTCCGAGCGGGTCGCGCCGGACATGCCCATCGCTATCACTGCCAATTCTGGGAATCTCGTGGCGGACGAAAGCCTGGACGCGGTCGACGCCCCTTGCTTGTTCTGCGTGGCTGGCCAGCTCGGGTGCAATAGCTACATGGCCACGCTCGACGCGTTGGATTTGGCCGACCGAAAGAGCGCGTTCTGCGGTCGCTTGGAGGGGGGGTTGGAGCCGGACCCCCCCCCCCCTCCTACTTCTCCACTCTCCCTCTCCTCGGATGGCGGTGGCGGCGGCGGGGACGACGATCTCCTTTTCTGGGCCGGCGCCGGCACCTGCGGCGGCGGGCGGCGGCGGCGGGGAGCGTCGACGAAGACGACGGTGGTGGTAGTGGTGGGTTGTAGTGGTGGTGGTGGCGGTGGTGGATGGTGGTGGTGGTGGTGGTGGTTGTGGTGGTGGTGTGGTGATTTGTTGTGGTGGTGGTAGTGGTGGTTGTGGTGGTTGTGGTGGTGGATGGTGGTGGTTGTGGTGGTGTGGTGGTGGTGTTGTGGTGGTTTGTGGTGATGGTGGTGGTGGGTTGTGATGGTGGTGGTGGTGTTGTGGTGGTTTGTGGTGTTGGTGGTGTTGGTGGTGGTGGTCGTGGGTTGTGGTGGTGGCGGTGGTTTGTGGAAGTGGTGCTGGTGGTGGTGGTGCTGGCGATGGTGGTGGTGGTGTGGTGATTTGTGGTGGTGGTGGGTTGTGCTGCTGGTTGTGGTGGTGGTTGTGGCGGTGGTGGTGGTGGCGTGGTAGATTGTGGTGGTGGTGGTGGTGGTGGAGGTAGTGGTGGTGGGTTTTTGTGGTGGTGGTGGTGGTGAAGGTGAGTTGTGGTGGTGGTGGTTGTGGTGGTTGTGGTGGCTGTGGCGGCGATGGTGGTGGTTGTGTGGTGGGTTGTTGGTGGTGGTGGTGGGTTGAGGCGGTGGTTGTGGTGGTAGTGGTGGTGGTGGTGGTACTGGTGGTTATCGTCGCTGCGTCCCCGCTGTCGCCGGCGCCAGCTCCAGCGGTGCTGGCCGCCGCCAGCGCTGGCGCCAGCGCCAGGGGGGGGGGAGTGGGGGGCGTTGAAACCCCCCCCCCTCGGCGCCAAGGGGGGCGAGGGGTTTGGACACCCCTCCCTCCTTGGGCTGCCTGCGGTCATCGTCGCCGCATCCCCGCCGTCGGCGGTGCTGGCGGCCGCCCGCGCCGGCGCCTGGAAGGGGGGGGGGTTCAACCCCCCCCCTTTTTTCTTGGGAGTGGAGGAGAGGGGGGGTTATGGGGGGGAGGGGAGCCCCCCTGGTTTTGATCGACAGCGCCGAGTGCTGGGGGGGGGGCCACCCCCGGTTCGAAACGCGCCGCCGAATGTTCCCAAGGCAAGCGGCCCGTGAAACGCGTTCTTTCGGCCGACCTGATCCATGGCGAGACCGAGAAGGAACCCGAGAACGAATTCTACCGGTTCGGGACCAGAGGTGCCCCACGGTGACGGCGCCATCCTTTTTTGCGGCCCAGCAGGTAGAATCGCGTGCAGCGTAGGCGACAGTCCCACGCTCGGCCTCCTTACCGACCGAAAGAGCGCGTTCTGCGGTCGCTTGGAGGGGGGGTTGGAGCCGGACCCCCCCCCCCTCCTACTTCTCCACTCTCCCTCTCCTCGGATGGCGGTGGCGGCGGCGGGGACGACGATCTCCTTTTCTGGGCCGGCGCCGGCACCTGCGGCGGCGGGCGGCGGCGGCGGGGAGCGTCGACGAAGACGACGGTGGTGGTAGTGGTGGGTTGTAGTGGTGGTGGTGGCGGTGGTGGATGGTGGTGGTGGTGGTGGTTGTGGTGGTGGTGTGGTGATTTGTTGTGGTGGTGGTAGTGGTGGTTGTGGTGGTTTGGTGGTGGATGGTGGTGGTTGTGGTGGTGTGGTGGTGGTGTTGTGGTGGTTTGTGGTGATGGTGGTGGTGGGTTGTGATGGTGGTGGTGGTGTTGTGGTGGTTTGTGGTGTTGGTGGTGTTGGTGGTGGTGGTCGTGGGTTGTGGTGGTGGCGGTGGTTTGTGGAAGTGGTGCTGGTGGTGGTGGTGCTGGCGATGGTGGTGGTGGTGTGGTGATTTGTGGTGGTGGTGGGTTGTGCTGCTGGTTGTGGTGGTGGTTGTGGCGGTGGTGGTGGTGGCGTGGTAGATTGTGGTGGTGGTGGTGGTGGTGGAGGTAGTGGTGGTGGGTTTTTGTGGTGGTGGTGGTGGTGAAGGTGAGTTGTGGTGGTGGTGGTTGTGGTGGTTGTGGTGGCTGTGGCGGCGATGGTGGTGGTTGTGTGGTGGGTTGTTGGTGGTGGTGGTGGGTTGAGGCGGTGGTTGTGGTGGTAGTGGTGGTGGTGGTGGTACTGGTGGTTATCGTCGCTGCGTCCCCGCTGTCGCCGGCGCCAGCTCCAGCGGTGCTGGCCGCCGCCAGCGCTGGCGCCAGCGCCAGGGGGGGGGGAGTGGGGGGCGTTGAAACCCCCCCCCCTCGGCGCCAAGGGGGGCGAGGGGTTTGGACACCCCTCCCTCCTTGGGCTGCCTGCGGTCATCGTCGCCGCATCCCCGCCGTCGGCGGTGCTGGCGGCCGCCCGCGCCGGCGCCTGGAAGGGGGGGGGGTTCAACCCCCCCCCTTTTTTCTTGGGAGTGGAGGAGAGGGGGGGTTATGGGGGGGAGGGGAGCCCCCCTGGTTTTGATCGACAGCGCCGAGTGCTGGGGGGGGGGCCACCCCCGGTTCGAAACGCGCCGCCGAATGTTCCCAAGGCAAGCGGCCCGTGAAACGCGTTCTTTCGGCCGACCTGATCCATGGCGAGACCGAGAAGGAACCCGAGAACGAATTCTACCGGTTCGGGACCAGAGGTGCCCCACGGTGACGGCGCCATCCTTTTTTGCGGCCTAGCAGGTAGAATCGCGTGCAGCGTAGGCGACAGTCCCACGCTCGGCCTCCTTACCGGCGGGGACTCAATCAGACCTCCACGCTCTACATCTCCCTCTGGAAGGGCAAGGTCGGCATCGGGGCAAAGCCCCAGAAGCTCGCGACAGTCAGCGCCGGGCATCGAGCCATCAAGCTCCAGCCCGAGGATTGGAAGACGACGAGGCCGGCTGGACAGGAGCCCGGCCCGCCGTCGCAGGCAGACACGACTCCGAGGGCCACGGCTGCAAAGAGGTCGACCTGTCCAGCCCCCAGTGCGAACATCACCACCACTGGGGCGGATCTGGAGCCCATGAATAAGTTCATCGCCACCGAGAAGGAGGTCAACATCCCGAAAAGGCCCAAGACTCGACGGCGACCGAAGCCGAAGCTCATGAACGCGATCGCGTCTTCCTGCGCGCGCTACACGGGCGCCCCGGGCCCAGGAGCCCCGACGCAGGTCGAGAGCCTCGTTATAATCGACCAACTACCTACCGCGTGCTCGACAGAGCAGACGCCCGGCGCGCGTCGCGCGGCACAGTCACACGCGAGTCCTGTCACAGCCTGAGCTTCTGCTCGGGCCGCGTCTCCGGGGCATCGGCAGAGCTCCAACAGCCCGATGAGGGGCCCACTGCCGAGGCCAACACTGCGGAGCAGGAACAGCTCATGCGGGGGGAGATCACAGAGAGCACCAGACCGTCCCTCACAGCTGGGAGGCAGAAAGCCCTCGTCGCCAACAGGGACGGACTGCGGTCGCAAAGAGTCAGCCAGGCGCTCCGGACGGACGCGGCCAGGTCCGCCGCATCGTCAGATTTGCCCAGCACCAAGAGCACCACGGCGTCCTACTGGCGGGCTGCAACCCGAACAGCGCCCTCTCTTCTCCGTGGAGACGGCAGGGAGGAGCAGCAGTACGACTCGGTTTGGCTGGCCACGGCTTGCCCAAGGGCTTCGTTGTCGACAAGATGGAGAGGCGCACCCAACAGGTCCTGCACCAAGGGAAGCGCACGCGGAGCCACGCCGCCTTCTCCTGCAGACCGTGGACGTCACTGCAGCTGCTGCTGCCCCATCAGAATCCGGACCACAAAAAGGCGCTCGCCACCGAGGGGGGGAGCTTCAGCTGGCGCGATCAAGCTCTTCCTGGACCGCGGCACGCCTCCGTCGCAAGTTCGGTGTTCAGCTCGCCGCTGCCTCCGCAGCTCGCCGCTGCCTCCGAGTAGCCTCGCCGCTGCCGGGACCGGGGGCCCCAGGGAGGGCGCCGTGGCCGCGCGGCCGCGCAGGGAGCTGCCCACGGTGGTCGATTTCGACGGTTGCGCCCTCGGACCCGTCAGCAATAAAAGGAACACCATGGAAGAGCCCTTGCGAATCGTCACGGATCACAGTGGATTGACGATTCCACGCGCATGTTCTGCAACCAGCGTCACCGACGCGCCGAAGCTCGAGGGCGCGAAGGGAAGCGCAGCGCAGCGAACACGTTGGCCAAGCAGCTGAGGCGGCCCAAGCCAGGACCGCAACGCCAGGCCAACCCCAACCTCCACTGCGGGGAAGACACCAAGGATGCCAGCGGCACCTCAGGAGCCGCCGGTGACAGCAGCTGAGAAGCGAGCCTTGAAGTCCGCCGTGACGGAGCTCCATGTCACCAAGGAGCACCCGTCCAACGACGCATTGGACCGTGGGATACGGGCCACGGGAGGCACACAACGAGTTGTCGAAGCCGCTGTAACCCTCCACTGCGAAGTGCGCGCTGCACATCAGCGCGCACTACCTAATCTACCAGGGCAAATTCGGTTAGATCGAGACTTCAACGACCTCCATCGGCGTCCACATCTTTACGCTGGCCGACTACGCCGGGAACCATTTGAAATTCATCCATATTGTCGACCTGGCTCGGACTTCACCATGGCTGGGGCCGTCGCTAGGAGACACCCGCCCGCTTTTTTCGCCCGGTCCTTCAAGTCTGGACCACGCCGTTCGGAGCAGCCAGATTGGCCCCACCCCAAACGGAGGATGGGGAGTTCGAGCGCGAGTTTCCGAATAAGCTCGAGGACATGGGCCGCAGATTGATGACCATTTTTGGGAGCCACCCCGTAGCAGAACGCCACGGTAGGCGCCACGACGGGGAGCCGTTTCGAGGGAATCCCTATGGATTGGAGGTGAGAAGCCCCCACGCCATCCCACCTACGGCAAGGGCGGCCGTGGCCAGCGCTTGCGGCGCCCAACACTTTGCACACGATGTCCTTCTCAGTCTCCACCCCTTTTTTTGGTCGGTATCCATCCCATTGTCTTCCTCCCACTTCAACCACCGCCAACTGCTGCCTAAGCCTGCCGCCCTCCACAACCTCTTCCCTCCCTCTGTTGGCTGATTTAATTGCAGCATCGTCAAGCGACACGGAGGAGGAGGAGGAGGAAACTGAGAGGGAGACGGATGGGGAGGGGAGGAGGAGGTCGCGAGGAGGGAGAAGGGGAGGGAGGGAGGGAGGGAGGGAGGGAGGGAGGGAGGGAGGGATGGATGGATGGATGGGTGGATGGATGGATGGATTGATGGATGGATGGATGGATGGATGGATGGATGGAAAGAGGAGGAGGAGAAGAGGAGAGGAGGGAGTGGGAGGAGGGTTGATGAAAGGACGATGCCACCATGAGAAGAATATCACAGTTGCCTCACACCCTTGGCTTCCGAATAGTTAACCCATGGATCCCCGTTCCGAACGACTTTGCGCCCACTGGGGGAGGGGAAGGGGAATAGGGGGGGATGTGAGCATCCTGGCCCTTGGTCGGGATCTCCCTTGACGCATTTGGTTACAAACAACAAGGTCGATCCCACCCGGCAGCGTACCCGCTGCGATCCCCAAGCCGTTGCGCCCCCGAGGAGAACTGCAGGCGCTCGTGGAGAAGTACAATTCGCCAGACGCCGACCGCGTGGCGAGGCTCAATGCGAAGGCCAGGTCGGGGGAGACGAAAATGGAAGAGGAGGAGGAGGAGGGAGGAAGGAAGGAAGGAAGGAAGGAAGGAAGGAGAGGAGGAAGGAAGCAAAGAAGGAGGGGGAGGAGGTGAACGAACTGAAAATGGGAGTGGGGAGGAAGAAGGAGGGACGGGGGAACGGAGGGACGGAGGGACGGAGGAGGAGGAGGAGGAGGAGGAGGAGGAGAAGAAGGAGTTAGGAGGGACGAGGACGAGGAGGACGAGGGAGGAGGAGGTGGAGACGGAGGACACGGAGGAGGAGAAGGAGGGGGAGGGAGGAGGAGGCGGAGGAGGAGGAGAGGAAGGAGAAGGACAAGGGGGCGAGGAGAAGGAGGAGGGAGGAGGCAGGGGGAAGAGGGAGAAGGGATGGAGGATCATGTCCAGGTCTCGCTCCTTCCTCGGCCAGCATTGCCTCCCGCCTCGGGAGCAGCGTTCGCTTGTTTTCGCACCGTCCGCCTCGTTTAGTCGAGGGGTGCTCGGAATTCGGGGATGAGGTTGATGGCCCTGTTCCTTGTTCCTCATCCTACCGTCAACCCGCATAGCAAGGATGAGCAACTTTCCAAGGCCCACCCTTGCATCCTTCCCCTCTGGCCCATCCTCGGACGCTTCCGCTGGCCGCGCCCCGCCCGCAAAGTGCCGGCATGGCCTTTCAAGGCCATTGCATTATGATAGCGCATCCTGACTATGCGGGTTGACTGAACTCCTCCTCCCCCTCCGTATCCACGCGATTGCCTTTCTGACGCCGTGGTTGCTCCTCTGGACAGCCCTACATGCTGTTTCGCTGGCGCGGCTCCACCCTTCCGGACTCACACTTCATCCCTCGGGACCTTGTATTTATCTTGATCATCATTTTCCGCATCTTCACCCTCATCATCACCAGCAGCAGCAGCAGCAGCAGCACCATCATCATCATCATCATCATCATCATCATCATCATCATCATCATCATCATCATCATCATCATCATCATCACCATCACCATCAGTAACAACATCATCGTTATCGTTATCGATCGCATCATCATCATCATCATCAGCAGCAGCAGCAGCATCATCATCATCTGCAGCATCATCATCATCTACATCATCGGCAGCATCAGCAGCAGTATCATCATCATATCGTCATTACCATTTATCATCATCAGCAGCAGCATCCAATCCCTCATTCCCTCCTCACCCTCATCTTATGATCGTCCTTTCTCACATCCTCCGGCAGAGGTGGCGGACATCAACGACAGACTCATGGAGAGCGTCGACAAGATCTTGGAGAGGCAAGAGCGGATAGGCGGCACGCTTTGGGTCTCCAGACCTGCACAGAAAACAAGGTTGAGGAGGAGGAGGAGGAGAAGGAGAAGGAGGAGGAGGAGGAGGAGGAGGAGGAGGAGGGGGAGGGGGAGGGGAGGAGGACGACGGGAGTGTATGAGGAGGAGGAGGAGGAGGAGGAGGAACACGAGCGAGCAGAGGAGCGAGGAGATGAAGGGGGAGAAGGAAAAGGGGCTAGAAAGTTTCTGGCTCTCTCCCTTCCCAGGGGAGGAGGGGATGCTTGTGGCCTCCGTTTCCTCCCTCATCCTCCCCATCCTTACCCTCCTCACTCCTCCTTTTCCTCCCTCATCCTCCTGCTCCTCCTCCTCCTCATCATCACCATCATCATCAGCATCAGCATCAGCATCATCATCATCATCATCATCATCATCATCATCATCATCATCATCATCATTATCATTATCATCATCATCATCCGCCTCCTCCTACTCCTCCCCCTCCTCCTCCTCCTCCTCTTCCTCCTCCTCCTCAAGTGCGACCGCAATCCGTGCTCTTCCGCGTTCCTCGATTCTTCGTTCTCTCACTATGAGCTACAGTCGCTCATTCCGTTGGGCTCCTCCTCCTCAGACTCATCCTCATCCTCATCCTCATCCTCTCCTCACTGTCCCTCCTCTCTCTCATCCTCGTCCGCACCAGCGGCAAATGCGCGTTGACGCATACGAAAAGCCCACACCCGCCTCGTCGTCCTACTTCCCGTTCTCCTCCTATCGCTCCTCACTGCCCCTCCCCCACGCCTCGTCCTCCTCGTCGTCGTCCTCCTCCTCCTCCTCCCCCTCCTCCTCCTCCTCCACTTGGCACCTGGCACCTGCTGGCATCGGTGTCTTCTGACGCTGCTGGCCGCCGCGCTGGCAGGGGGGGCGGCGAGGGACGAGAGAGGCGGGGAGACGCACCGAGCGGCCCGAAAGGGAGGACGGGACGGGCCCGAGCGCACGGACCGACGCACGACGAAAGGAAGCGGGAGGAGGGAGGAAAGGGGGCCCCCCAAGCACGGAGAGGCCAACGAAGCCCCCCCAGGGAAAGCGGGGGAGGGAGAAGAGCGAGCGAAAGAAAGGAGGGAGGGGCAAGTTGGGCGCGCTCGCGTCAGATCTGACGTCCTGCCCCTCCCTCCCACATCCCTTACCATGGCGCAGATATCCTCTCTATTCGCACAGTCGGATGTCGACCAGGGCGATGGTCGCGAGAGGGTGCGCGATGCATGGTAAAGCACGTCATGGCATGGCGTAGAAGAGCACGGCAGAGCGCAGCATGCCATAGCATGGCGTGGCATTGCGCAGTGAAGCATTGCATCACAAAGCATTGCAACGCAAAGCATGGCATCGCACAGCGGCGCAGAACACAACACCGCACAGCATGTCATGGCATGGCCCCGGGGTCCTTGGAGGGGAAGTGGATCGTCTTCGAGAGGTCTGGGCCGGTCTGGGGTCGTGGCTCCATGTCTAGCTCCTTGGGCTCCCCACAAGCTCTACACAAGACGGGGCTGGCGAAGAGCACCCGCTGGCTCTGCTTTCAACATCGCCTTCTCTAAGCAGTAACAGGGCTCCCGCTTGATACTTCCTGGGAGGGAGGGCTTCTTCGGCCCAAAAAAACAACGAATCGGCACCGAATGTGTAATCATTTCCGATTGTTTTTTTCGGGGGGCATTTTTTTGATTTTGGGACCTACTTGGAAGGACCGAGGACGCCCGCGCTGCAGCGGGAGCACGACTTGGAACAGCCACAGGCGCAGAAATGGGGCCAGCAAACCAAAAACACAAACGAGAACACGTTTCCCGGGAATCCGGTGTGTTAGAAACTATACGCTGAGGGGGGCCCAGACATCTTCCGGACGTCATCAGGGGCGATAGGAGAGCAGTGTTCATATTGTGTCCGTGTGGACGGCGAAAAAGGTGGCCTTTCCGCGCACGGGGGTTTGCCCCTCTGGCGGCCGCGGGTCCAGCTCCCTCTGGGAAACCCCCGCGTCCTCGGTGGGGCGACGACGATGAAGAAGCCGTCCTTTGGTGGTGCTCCCAGCCCGGGTCGGCGCGGTCAGGGTCGGGGTAGTTGTCTCCGCAGTTGCGCTCGTGGCAGTGGGCGGGCCTCCTCCCCTTCCTCCTCCTGCTCCTGCTCCTGCTCCTGCTCCTGCTCCTCCTCCTCCTCCTCCTCCTCCTCCTCCTCCTCCTCCTCCTCCTCCTCCTCCTCCTCCTCCTCCTCCTCCTCCTCCTCCTCCTGTAGCTGCGCGAAGATGTTGTGCAGGCTGTGCTCGAGGGCAGCCGTGTCATCATGCGTCTTGGGGTCCCGCCGTAGTAGTTGAAGACGTAGGTGCGTTTCGCGGGATCCATGCGGAACTCTTTGACGTTGGGGTTCATGGTGTCGTCGTTGGCGAGGTGGATGATTTGCTCGTCTTCCAGTCTGAGATCAATGCGGTCATCATCGGCGTCGATGAAGGTGACGGCCGCGATACGCGCGGCCTTGTGGTGGGCCTCCAGCTGGCTCTCGCCTCTGTGTCGTAACCATTTCCCTCGACCCCAGGCCGGGCCTTGCGCTGAAAGCGGGAGCGTTAGTGGCAGAGGCCCCTCGGCGAGGCAGGTGGCCCCTTGGGCTTCTCGGCCATCGAGGGCGCTGTCGTTGACGAAGGGGTTGGCGGCGTTGAAGCTGGCGGCGTTGCCGCTGGCGGCGTCGTCGCTGTGGCGCCCGTCGAGATTGGCGGGGTTGAGGCTGGAGTCGCCGTTGCAGGCGCTGTAGCTGCGGTGGTGAAGCCTTCACGGGTGCAGTTCTGTTGCTGAGGATTTCGCGACGGATCCAGCCATGGGGACAGGAGAGGGGTCCTTGGCGACATAGCCCGAAGGGCTAGGTGGAGGGGCCGCCCAGAAAATCCCTTGGGGGGATACCCATCTTAACGTGCTTTTCAGGGCCAATGCCTGGGTCTACTCTGGGATGGAGCGCCCACGGGGGCACATCCTCGAACTCGTTCTGGTAGCCTTATTGGCTCTCGTATTGGTAGTCGTGGTAGTTGGCGTAGCCGTGATGGTTGTCATACTGGACGCCGCGTTGGTAGCCGCAATTGCTGTCGTACTGGACATACTCGTGCTTCAGGGCGGGTTCCAGGATGTTCGTGACGACATCGGGGACAGACTCCGGCGCAACCCTGTTGAGGTTGTTGGTCTCTTGCATGTTGCGCGTGCTGTTGCTCATGTTGGGGTGGTCGTCAGGCTCTGACGGCGGGCACGTCGTCTGTGCCGGCCTGCGCCCGACGAGGGCAGCTACGGTGTCCTTGGTGTCCGGTGCGAGTCCTCCTTGCGCGCTGCGTATGCGAGTCGGCGCATGGCCGAGGCTCCGGGTTCGTGTACTCCCTGTTGAGGGGGGCGATGATCTCCACGTACACGCCGGTCGTTGAAAGTTGGTATTCTTGGATTCCCAGATCCCAGTCTACTTCAAGCGCCTTCCTACTTCGAGAATCGACATGCTGTTGCTGTGTGTTGTTATTCTCTGGGAGGACCTGGACCCAATCCACTAGATCCGCCTTCCTGCTTCATGTCTCTGCCTACTTCTTCCGACCGACGTGTACCCGTGGGCCTCCGCGAGTGCGGGTAAAAAGTTCAGCGGCAAGCCGGCGATCTCGTTGCACACGTCGGCCTCAAGGAGCTCGGGGACGGTGTTGGCGCTAACGGTGGAACGGAACGGAAGTCTGCGTGCCAGCTCCGGTAACCGGAGCGGTCCCCTAGGGGGCAGACCGTGCGCTGAGCATGCCGGAAAATGAATGTCGGCAACGAGCACACGCAGGAAAATGCGATTCATAATTCCCCATCCCCAAGCATCGCTTCACCGATCCCCATCCCCATCCCCGTCCCCTTCGAGACCCCCCCCAGATTACGCCCCCCGTTGGGGATCCGCCCCCTCCCCCTCCCCCTCCCCCTCCTCCTCCTCCTCCTCCTCCTCCTCCTCCTCCTCCTCCTCCTCCTCCACCTCCTCCTCCTCCTCCTCCTCCTCCTCCTCCTCCTCCTTCCTCCTCCCTCCTCCTCCTCCTCCTCCTCCTCCTCCTCCTCCTCCTCCTCTCTCCTCTCGAAAATCCGAAGGATGCGGCGGGGGCGCCGCGCATGGCCACCCGCCCCCGCTCAGACCCCCCCCCCTGCCCCTTCGGAGGGGGCCCGGGCGAGGGGGCCCCCTCGCCCGCGAGAGGCGGCGGCTCCTCCTCCTCCTCCTGCCTCCTCCTCCTGCTCCTCCTCCGCCTCCTCCTCCTCCTCCTCCTCCTCCGCCTCCTCCTCCTCCTCCTCCGCCTACCCCCCCCTCCTCCTCCTCCTCCTCCCCTCCTCCTCCTCCTCCTCCATCCTCCGCCTCCTCCTCCTCCCCTCCTCCTCCGCCTCCTCCTCCTCCTCCTCCTCCTCCTCCTCCTCCTCCTCCTCCTCCTCCTCCTCCTCCTCCTCCTCCTCCTCCTCCTCCCGATGGCCAGCATTGGCCACCAGAGATGGAAAGAGATCGCTGAGCACAGCAGAGAGCAAGAACCCTCCCATCGGAGCCGCATCGGCCGAGCATGCCAGGGACACTGGGGCCACCCCGCTCCCCCCGAGGCCTCCCCCCGCTCCTCCTGGTGCCCCAGACCCTGAGCCCGAGCTCCACCGATGGGAATATATATATATATATATAGACGGGTTCCATATGTGCAGCCTGTGCCGGGTGAGAGCCAAGTCTGAGCATCAGTATTTCAGGCGCCTCTCAGACAAGTGCCCTGGAGATTGCGCAGGCCTCGCCTCGCTGGCGCACAGCCCCAGAGGTCACCAGCTTTTGATTTTCGAATATGAGCTCAATTCGAGCACGTTGATTTTATGCCGTTCCTGTGGGTCCTATTCGGAAACGGGCACCAGGGGCCGACTGTTCCAAGAGTGCCCAAAAGTTCCGAGGGCGAACGATGCTCGAATCCAGCTCTCCAGAGCGCCGGAGCTCAGACACCCCAAGAGAGGCAGAGCTCACGTTTTCAAGCATCCAGTCCCGCTCGAACAGTTTTACCACGAAGCAGTGGCTGCAGCTCAGGCTGCCGACAGTGGAGACCTTTAGGCCCACACCAGGGGCGAGGCTCTGCCACCGTCCAGGCGTTGGTTACACCTGGGGTCGGCGGAGCCTCGTCGTCCTGGCGCCGCCCCGTGTCTATCTTCTGCATGTGCGTGCGTGTGTGCGTGCCAGCACGCGTGTCAGGCACCCCGCATCAGGGGGAAGGCGCGCTCGCACCAGGGTCCCAGTGCCCTCTTGTTGTTTCAGCGTCGGCAGCGCTCTGCCGTCTATGCGGCTCATGGTTTCATCCTCGGCCGCAGTGGATAACATGGTGGCTCAGCGCCACGAGGTTTTGGGTTAGGGTCGGGTCGGCCAACCCTTAGCCTCCCCTCATCAGCCAAGTCATGGTCCTCCTCCTCCGCCTCCTCCTCCGCCGCCTCCCCCTTCTCCTCCGCCTCCTCCTCCTCCGCCTCCTCCTCCTCCTCCGCCTTCCTCCTCCTCCTCCTTCCCTCCTTCTCCTCCTCCTCCTGCTCCTCCTCAGCCTCCTCCTCCCCTCCTCCTCCTCCTCCTCCTCCTCCGCCTCCTCCTCCTCCTCCGCATCCTCCTCATCCTCCTCCGCCTCATCCTCCTCCTCCTCGGCCTCCTCCTCCTTCCTTCGCCTCTTCCTCTGCCTCATCCTCATCCTCCTCCTGGGTCCTCTTTCCCCCCCGCGCCCAGAACTGCTGGTGGACCGCTCCGAGGTGCTCTCCTCCTCCTCGCGGTCCTTCCGCGCGGCGGCGCAGGACGGGCGGCGCCGGCAGCGGTGGCGGCACGCGAGGACTGGAGCGGCCTGCCACCCCCCCTTCGACGACGAGGCCATCAGCGACAGCGTCAAGGAAGAGGAGGAGGAGGAGGAGGAGGAGGAGGAGGGGCAAGGTTCGGGCGGATATGCTCAAGGGGGGGCAATTTCGACGTTCGAAGTCTGAGGTTTTCTGACTTACCGGCGCTCGGCGGCTTTCCAGCCTCGGGTGCTCTTCAGCGGCTGCGCCTCGTCGAGATCGTCCCGAAAGGCCGCCGGAGAGGCGAGTTAGGGGGGGAGTGAGAAGGAGAAGGCCCCCTCAGAAAGCGGCGGGGCTTCTCAGAAGCCCTCGCGCCTTCTGAGAAGTTTTCTGCGCCTTCGGGGAAGGTCTGGAAAACTTTTTCAGAAGGCAGGGGACTTCCGAGCCTTCTGAGAAGGCCCGCCCCCTCTCGCTTCCTCCCTGGGCTGGCCGCCGAGCTAATGGGGGATAGGCTCAGGGGGGGATGCATCGACCGCAATCGCCGATCCGTCGCCGAGAGGGGCTCCAACAGCCCGCCCCGTCCAGAGACGCGTGGATTCGCTGTCGGGTGGGACCTGCCGCCGACCAATGTGCGATGTATCTCCAGTTCCAGCTCGATACGTTCCGCCCTGAGCCAGCCCCCCCCGAACGTTCCTCCTCAGGCAGGGTAAACCTAGGATGCGTCGGCGATGCTGCAATACACCCTCCTGTCCCGAAGCCCCTCCTCGTACCCCTCATGAAAGACAAGCACAGTTGGGCCTACCATTTTGGCGACGGCCCCGCTTCGAAAGAAATTGCCTTGCATCTCTCTGACATGCAATCAGGGGAGCGACACAATGTGATCATGCAGTTCAACGGGGTATCCAACAAGATCCCCCTTTCGAGGAAGGACCGCCCCCCTCCCCCATCCGGGACAGTTCCATTTCAAAACAAGAGCCGCCCTGGATCCAGCCAGCGCCAGGAGCGGCAGGAGGAGCAGGAGGGAGCAGAGTAAACCCGAGATGCATCAGGAATGCTGCAATGTTCCTGCCCGTCCCAACTCCCCTCCTCATGAGTGCCTACCAGTATCCTTGGTCGTTGCGGGAAATGCCCCTGTTGATAAACGAGCGCCCCATGGTCTTGCCATTCAGGCGAGAGCCCCGTTTTGAACAGAAGTTGCCATCCATGTTTCTAGCTGAAAAGACGGCGACGAGGTAGGATCAGAAAACGTAAGGAAGCGTCAAGCGATCACCCCGCTTTGAAAAAGATTCGTCCGCCCGTACAACCTCAGGAAGTGTGATGCGAGAGCCCCGATTTGAAAAAGATCCGTCCTCAATCCATGAATCCCACCAGCCCTTTAGGGCGTAGGTGGTCTAGAGCGTCTCCTCTGCCAACCCCCTTCTTTCCCTTCGGGGAGGGGTTTACCCCTCCCCTTTACCCCTCCCCACCGACCTGGACGAGGGGTTCCGCGGGTCGTTGGGACGTCCAAGATGGCCCAAGACGACTCCAAGAGCGAAAAAAACGAAAAAGCACAAAACATTGATTTTCCGAAGGTTTTGGAAGGATTTTGGCCTCTGGGGGGGGGGCCCAAGAGGCGATTCGAGGCACTCTAGAGGGGCAAGGCTAATATACGACCACCCCGTCTTTGATAGATCTCCTCCAACATGGCCCCAAGAGCGCCCCGAAGGCCCTCAAGAGCGCCAAAAGAGCGCCCCAAGAGGGCCCCAAGAGGCCCCAAGAGGCCCCCAAGAGGCCTTCAAGAAGCTCCCAAGAGACCCCCAAGAGGCTCCCAAGACGGCTCGAAGAGCGAAAAAGCGAAAAAGCACAAAACATTGATTTTCCTTAGGTTTTGGAAGGATGTTGGCCTCTTGGGGGGGGGGCCTAGAGGCGATTCGAGGCACTCTAGAGGGGCACCGCTAATATACGACCCCCCCTTATATGATAGATCTCCTCCAAGATGGCCCCAAGAGCGCCCCGAAGGCTCCCAAGAGTGCCCCAAGAGCGCCCCAAGAGAGCCCCAAGAGGCCCCAAGAGGCCCCCAAGAGGTTTCCAAGAGGCTCCCAAGAGACCCCCAAGAGGCCCCAAGAGGCTCCCAAGATAGCCCAAGACGGCTCCAAGAGCGAACCAAGCGAAAAAGCACAAAACATTGATTTTCTCTTGGTTTTGGAAGGATTTTGGCTTCAAGAAGGGCCTCAGAGGCGATTCGAGGCACTCTAGAGGGGCAGCGCTGATATACGACCCCCCCTTCTTTGATAGATCTCCTCCAACATGGCCCCAAGAGCACCCCGAAGGCTCCCAAGAGCGCCAAAAGAGCGCCCCAAGAGGCCTCCGAGAGGCCCCCAAGAGACCCCCAAGAGGCCACAAGAGGCTCCCCGACATACGCAAGAGGCCCTCGGGACCGCCAAGAGGCCCCAAAGACGGCCCAAGAGGCCCCCAAGCTCGCCATTGTCCTCCTCCTCCTCCTCCTCCTCCTCCTCCTCCTCCTCCTCCTCCTCCTCTTTTTCTTCCTCCTCCCTCCACCCCCTTCCCCTCCTCCTCCTCCTTCTCCTCCTTCTCCTTTTCCTCCTTCTCGTCCTCCTCGTACTCGCAGTCCTCCATCTCCTTCTCCTCATCTTCCTCCTCCTCCTCCTCCTCCTCCTCCTCCTCCTCCTCCCCCCCCTGCTCCTGCTCCTCTTCCTCCTCCTACTCCGACGACGACGACTCCTCCTTCATCCTCCCCATCTTGGGGTATAGGGCGGCTCACCCCGCCCTTTGTTTTTCTGCATGCTCCCCCGCTTCCCTCATAATCTCCACTCCCCTGGGACTCATTTCTGGACGGGCTGGTGGGGATATATTTTTTGGTCGCGGCCGCGCAGCAGAGGGCAGGCGGCGAAAGGGAGTCCGGGGCAACGGGCAAGCCTAATTAGCTACTAGGCGCAGCGCAAGCCGGTCGGGCCAGCTCACAGAGGCAGCAGCTGCAGGCAGCGGCGGCAGGGGGCTGACTGGCTGAACTGCAACGCCCAGGGAAGCTCAAGCAACATGCAGACCTGTGGCAAAGTGCCTGGGAATTCCAAACTGAACGCCGCGGCGCCAGTCCACCACGGTGTAGGTGCCATGCCGAGTCAGAGAGAGTCCTGCACGTACTATCCGCGCAAACACTGTAGCAAGTGAAGGCCATGTACAAACTGGTCGTGTCGCCAGAGGGCGCCAAGGGCCAGGGCCGTGTCGACGGCGTAGACCTGCCTGGTAGGCTGGGACGGGTCGTGGATGGAAGCACAGCGTCTGCAGGAAGGCTGGACCACTCCGCGACGCCACACAAGTCTCCTGTGGTGGACGCCAGTCCCGAGCAAGTAGCATGGACCCAGCCCGGAAGGCGACAGCACCTGAGGGTCTGGCCCAGGGTCACGACGTGAGCGCCGTAGAGAACCGCGTATTGCGCAGAGAACAAGCTTGATTGGCGGGAATGAACGTCGCCAGTGCGGCAGGGAGGGTGGACACCAGGGGACGACAGCGCCAGGGGCGATCACCCACATTACGCTGCGGGGCCACGGGGTCCTGGCAAGCCGCCCTGCCCGTGTGGGACCGTCCTGTGGTGGGGGCGGTGGGTACTGACATCACCAGCCGGCCACGTGGAGGGGCCCGCCTGGGACTCCCGGTGCCAGGGGGACAGTCGGTGGCACGGCGAGCGGGGGCAAGCCCGCGCGGACGTGTGGCCGGGGGCAGTCCCGTCCTTGTCTCCCGGAGAAGTGGCGGAGCCATGGCGTCCGTAGGAGAGGGGAGATGGAGAGAGGCGGCAACCAGGGAGCGGCTGACGGCCGCACGGATTCGTATGGAAGTCCACGTCCAATGGAGCGCGCGGGTGCATTACTAGCTCGGAGAGGTGGGACTGGGCGGTGAACCGATGCTCAGAGCCTGCCACCCACTGTGTCAGGGCTGTGCTGCCCCCGAGCATCCCCTCTCCAGGACGCTGTATGAGCTGAGCTTCCCATCGGGCAACTCTGTCTACTGTCGTCCTGCGGGTCCCCGTGTCGGTGGCCTGCCAGCAGCACTGTACCTGTTACTGATGCCCATGTTACCAGGGGTGCAGCTGACGGCTGCCAGAGTTTTAACATAAGCCAGGGAGCAGCTGACGGGTGCCACAAGAGAGTACTGGGACGTTCCCCGGAAGCTGCCGCGCTCAGGCCTTGTTCGTGGGCCCGTCTGCAGCGCCAGGGAGCTGCCCCACGCATGACACGCGGCCGTCCGACTGCGGGGGTCTGCTGGGATCCCAACAGGCACCGATGGTGTGGTCAGCCTTCGGACGAGTGCTGGACCCTACCCGTGCCTGTTCCTTGGCAGGGGGAGTGTCGGCCTCTTCGGATCCGCTCGAGAGGAGCTGCCAAGGGTGCGGCTGACGGCCGCCTGCATTCTTCTAACTAGCTGCTGCCAGGGTGGCCATAGGCCTCTACAGTCACGAGTCCGGGGCACAAGGGGGGTGAGACATGCCGGGCGCCGGGGAGCAGACACCGCCCGGGCGCCCGAAAGCTGTTGCGTGTGGGCTGCGGCGTCCGTGCGTCGTCCACTCGCATCGAACCAGCCGAGGCTGTCTAGCTATGCTGCGCCAGAGGGGGGGGGGGCGGCCGCCTGCCCCAGCGATAGGCAGCCCCGAGGTATTACGGCCGACGGGCCGGGCGCAGCGAGGTGAAACGGGCCCTATGGCGGGCCAGCGCACGCTGACAAGGGGAGCAGATGCGCCGCAAGCCATTGTGCGCGGAGCGGGGGGGGAGTGGGTATGGTGTATAGCCGTCGTCAGCTCCAGTGGCGGCAGGGGGCCTCGGAGGCTGTCGTCTTGTTGGCCACCGTCTTCCGCCAGAGTCTGCTGCAATGCAGCGACTGACCCCTCAAGTGGCTGCTGTGTTGCTTCATGCCCACCAGCGACCTCTCTTCTCGGAGTCGCGGTGGTCGTCTCGCTGGGGGGAGCGTTTGCCCCCACCTTTCCATTCGGTGTCGCCCCATGTGGGGTCGACTTCGCCCCATGTTGACCAGCCCTGCC